AGGCCCTTGTTTTACAGATGAGTTGAAGAACCTCAAGAAAACCACTTTTGGTCTGCGGGCCAGTTTCATCACCTATAAAATGAGGGTCTTGTATCAGACAATCTCTAGGGTCTTTTTGAGCTAAAAGATTTTTGGAATCCCCTAAGCAAGGTCAGAAACATCTCTATCCTATGTGTGTATGAGGCAGCTAAGGGGCTCAGCAGATAGAGCACTGCGCCTGGAGTCAGGAAGACCTGAGTTCAAATCCGGCCTTAGATACTTGCTGGCCCTGGGCAAGTCACTTAACCTCTATTTGCCTTAATTCATTGGTGCAGGAAATGGCAAACCACTCCAGTATCTTTGTCAAGAAAACTTCATGGACATTATTGGCATGATATGGTCCACGGGGTCATGAAAAGTCAGACACAGTTGAATAACAATGATGTAGGTATGTACATATTTATCTATCTACTATCTATCTAGTACTTAGCACAGTGCCTGGCACATAGTAAGCACTAAATAGATGCTTGTTGACATATCATCCAACAACTTAGTCATCATGTAGATGATTGCATATAGTAGGTGGTTAATAAAGGTTTGTTAAGTTAATTGATGAATACTCTTGAGAATTTCCAAAAAGAGAGACATAGTGGATGGTTGGCATATCACAGAATCATAGATTGCCAGTTGGAAGGGTCCTCAGAGTCACCTAGTCCAGCACCATCATTTTTGAAATGAAGGAAAGGAAGGAAACAAGCATATATTAGGTACTTACTATGTACCGGACACATAAGAAACTAAGGAAACATGAGGGAATGAAGGCCCCAAGAGGTTTAAATGACTTGCTGATGATCACATAGATAGTAAATGACAAATGTGATTTCTAGCAGGATTTTCTTATTCCAAATCCAGGGCTCCTTACACTGGTCTAGCTGGGTTACTCTGGGCTAGTCATATAACTCCATGGTTACCTCCAGGGAAATCTTTAAGAATAAGAGTTGCCAATCTGTATTGGTGAAGGGAGTTTCTCACCAGAAATCAAAGATCTGTTTTTAAACAATTGATAGCACTCACCTGATAACTGTTACATGGATCAAGTTAGATTATGTATAAAAAGTGAAATAGAGGTAATCACGAAACCCCCTCCCCTATCTGTTGGACTGGGGCCTGTGTTCCATGCATCCCAGAAACATCATTCTCGGAAATGCAAAGCAGATGGATCAAATAAGGACTTCAGTTCCATCTCAGGCTCATTGAGATACACAAATGTTCTCCATGCCGTGAACATGCAGCCTCCTTTATCGTCAAGACTTCATGAAGTAGAGGCTGCCTGAGTTGCAAGTGACACGTTCCAAGGAGTACAGGAGAGAGAATGAGACTGCAAGTTATCTCGGCTAAGTCTACTAAATACAGCGATACCTTGTTTTATTGCGCTTTGCTTTATTGTGCTTTGCAGATATTGCATTTTGTTTACTTTTAGCAAATTGAAGGTCTGTGGCAACCCTTCATGAAGCAAGTCTATCAGCTCTATTTTTCCAACAGCATGTGCTCACATTGTTTCTCAGCATCACATTTGGATCATTCTTGCAACATTTCAAATGTTTTCATTATGATTATTACATCTATTATGGTGATCTGGGATCAGTGATCTTTGCAAAATGTTACTATTGTAATTGTTTTGGGGCACCACGAATCACACCCATGTAAGACAGCGAACTGAATTGATAAATGTTGTTGTGTATGTTCTGACTGCTCCACTGACCTGCCCTTCTGTCTGTCTCCCTCTCCTCAGGTCTTCCTATTCCCTAAGACACAATAATATTGAAATTAGGCCTATTAATAACCCTAAAATGGCCCCTAAGTGTTCGAGCGAGAGGAAAGGTCAACTAATGCAGCAAACTTCATTGTTGTCTTATTTTAAGAAATTGGCACAGCTGCTTCAGCCTTCAGCGATCGCCACCCCAATAGGTCAGCAGCCATCAGCATCGAGACAAGACCCTCCACCAGCAAAAAGATTATGACGCACTGAAGGCTCACATGATGGTTAGCATTTTTAGCAATAAAGTATGTTTAATTAAGGTAGGTACTTTTTTTTAGACAAAATACTATTGCACACTTAATAGACTACACATAGTGTAAACATAACTTTTATATGCACTGGGAATCCAAAAAATGCATGTGACTCGCTTTCTTGTGGTGGTCTGGAATCAAAGCTGTGCTATATCTGAAGTGTGTCAGTAAGTGGGTCTTCCTTCTTAGTTGCCAATCATCTCTGACACAGCCCTCTTTGACGAGTTCCAAGGGCCCAAGCAACAGCCTTTGGTTGCATATGTCCTTTAACAAGGGCCAGAGTACAAGTCACCAGAAATAGCCTGATTTGGGGCCCCAAAAGAAGAGGCTAGGGTATGGGGTCAGCTCCACATATGTTACAAGTTGCCACAGGCCCTAATCCAACAGATGGAGGGAAGTGGGGGTGGTAGGGGTGGCATGGCCTTATTACCTTCATTATAAAAGTACTATATAAATATGACCAATCATTCTTTTATTAATCCTCATTATAATTGACATACATCATAGTAAAATAAGATCACAGAATGTCAGAGCTAGAAAAGACCTCAAAGGCACCTAGTTCTGCCACCTCATTTAGCAGAAGAGGAGACTGAAGTGACTAACCCAAAGTCACAGAGGTGATGTGTCAAAATCTTATTTGGATCTCAAGCCCTCTGACTCCCAACTCAGTGCACTTTCCACAATGCTACTGCTCAGGTATGTCTTTAGGCCTGTCACTGGTATTGACGGTCACTCAATTTCCTCAACTTCTGTTCATTTTAGGAGTGATTTGGGTTTTATTTTTTTCCTTTACAAAAAATCTCATGTATATGAGAAACCTGAATATGGAAATTAACTGGCCACTCACCCAGTGTGTTCTCAGCAGGATTGTTGAATTCGCATTTGACTGCTGCCTCAGAAGCTTCCCAGCTGTGTGATTATGAGCAAGTATCAACCTCTCTGAGCCTCGATTTGCTCACCTATAATACCCCATGCAGTGCCCACTGCACTGGGGCTGCTGTAGCATGGATGTGCTGTTCTTTGAAAACCCTAACCCACTTTATGATCATTAAGAAGATGAATGGAAGAGGTGCTGCCCACCTCACTCTTCCAAACTGCCATGTTACCGGCTTCTTTTCTCCTCTCAAGCCCCTCTCAGTAGATGCCCTCACTCTTCCAACTTCACTGAGGAAACTGAGGTCATCTCTATAGAGATTTCTCCTCATTCTTAGCAAACTCTCTAACCATCTACCTGTCAGCTCTTCCTTCCTTCTTATTTCAGATAAAAGCGGGGCCTTCCTTTTTTCCAAGGTCAACCCTTCCACTTGTGCATTTGATCCAATCTTCTCTTTTCTCCTTTGAGGCCTTGCTGCATGAAATAACCCCTTCTCTCTCATTTTCAATCTCTGTCTGATTCTCCCTTCTCTTTCCCTCTCCCCTTCCCTTCTTTCTCCTTCCCCTCTCCCCTCTCTCTCCTTTTCCCATCCATTCTTTCTCTCCTCTTCCCTTCTCTTTTTCCTCCTCTCTCTCCCCCCTTTCTCTTTCTACTCCTTCCTCTCCCTCCCATCTCCTTCCTCCTCCTCTTCCCCTATTTCTTTCTCCCCTTATTTCTTTCTCCCCCTTCTCTTCTCCTCTCCCTCTTTTTCACTCTCATCTTCTATTTACCTCTATTCTCTCCTCCTCTCTTCTTTTTTCTCTTACCCTCCCTTCTATCTCCCTTTCCCCCTCCCTTCTTTTTCCTTCCTCTCCCTCCCTTCTCTTTCTCTCACCCTTTCCCCATGTCACTTTCTTACCTTCCCTTCTCTTTCCATCTCCCTCTCCCTTCCCTTCTCCTTTTTGTCCTTCCTCTCTCTCCCTTCCATCTCTTTCCCTCTCCTCTTCCCCTCTCTCACCCCTCCCTTTTCTCTCCCGCTCCTCCTTCCCTCTCTCCTTGCTCCCCCTCCCTCTTTCTCCTTCTCCCCCTTCCTCTTCCTCTCATTCCCTCTCCCCCCCCCCTTTACTTTTAGTGAGGCAATCTGGGTTAAGTGACTTACCCAGAGTCACACAGCTAGTAAATATCATGTCTCTGAGGCCGGATTTGAACTCAAGAGCTCCTGACTCCAGGGCTGGAACTCTATCTACTGTGCCACCTAGCTGTCCCTTCCCCTCCCTTTTTTCTCCTTCTCTCCCTTCCTTCTCTCTCTCCCTTCGCTTTCCCTTTTCCTTCTCTTCCCCTCTCCCCTTCCCCTCTATCTCCCTCTCCTCCTCTCTTCTCTCTCCCTCTTCCCCTCCCCTCTCTCCTCTCTCCTCTTCTCCCTTTCACTCCTTCTCCCCCTCTCTTCTCTCCTGCTCTCCCATCTTTCTCTCCTCCCTTCCCCTCTGTCTCCCTCTGCCTCTTCCCTTTCTCTCTCTCTCCTTTCTCTCTCCCTCTCCCCCTCCCTTCTATCCCCTTTCTCCCTCCCTTCTCTTTCTCTCTCCCTTTCCTCCTCCCTTCTCCTTCTCCTCCATCCTCCCCCTCCCTTTTTTCTGCATTCCCTCCCTCCCTCCTCTCTCTCCCCCTCCCTTCTTTTCTCCGCATTCTGTCCTTCCCTCCCTCCCTTCTCTTTCTCTCTCCCCCTCCCTTCCTTTTTCTGCATTCTCCTCCTCCCTTTTCTCTGCATTCCCTTCCTCCATTCTCTTTTCCTCTCCCCTCCCTTCTTTTTTCTGCATTCCCTTTCTCCTATTTCTTTCCCTTCCCCTTCTCAGTTTTCACTGTCTCTCTCCCCCTCCCCTCTCTCCCCCTCCCTTATCTCTTCCTCTTTCTCACCTTTTCTCCTCTCTTCTCACTCCCCTTCCCCCTCCTATCTCTCCTCTCCCTCTCCTTCCCTCTATTTCTCTCATTCCCTCTCCCCCTCCCTTCTCTCTGTTCCCCTTTCTCTATCCCTTCTTCCCTTCCCCCCACCCCCACCCCTCACACATACACACACACCACAGCTGGTAAATGAGATTTTTTTTTTAAAACAAAACTTTATTGGTAATGGATTTCAAATAATGTTCACAACAAAGCACACCATTATAGCGGAAGTCATTTCCGTGAAACAGATGTCTTGGAATCACACAGGTTGAATCTCTCAGGTATTCCCCCACCCCTCTGTCTGGCCTCTGAGCTCCTCCAAGGGTGGGGGAAATTTGAGAGAGGGACACACAAGCGAAGGGGGATGGAGAGAAGATGACTACTCTCCATAGAGCTATTTGCTAGAGAGAAGGGAAGCAATTAGGATAATTCAGAAGCCTCAACAGGGGGCTAGTGAGAGGAGCGATGGATAACTGTCAGTTAAGCCAGATGGAGGGGGCTTCTGGGAATGGGGAAAGGTGGCAAGGCCACCAGGTGAATAAAATTGGCATTCCCAGGGCAAAAGGAAGCTCTATACCTTAGAGCTATGCCACTTCCTGTTCCCTTTCTCCCAGCTCCCCCTTCCCCCCACTCCCTCCTCCTCTCCCCACCCAGGGTGGGCTATATCCTCCAACAAGCTTCTGGGGAGTGACGATCCCAGACAGTGGGAAAATCAGTGTCTGGGGATTAAAAAATCTATAGATAAGAATGGCTAAATTGTAGGCGTGGCCCAGGAATTTCTGGGAGACCTCTTTGGCAGGGATCAAAAACCAGTTAGCCTGGGTGGGGTGGGGTGGGGGTGGGGAAACGCTCTTTCTTGCTCCCTAGCCTCAGGGAGGCAAGACTGGGGAGTGGGGAAGGTCCTGAGGGAGGGAAATCATTGGGAGTTGGGGAGTGGGGATAGGCAAGGCTCTTTCCAATTTGGCAGGATACCCCCAATGGGGCTCTAGCAATTGTTTTCACAACCCCCTCCTGGCTGAGATCAGCAGCAAAAAATCCCCTTCCACAGGCCATAGACCTAGCTCAAACCATCTGCTGAGATCCCAGAGGTGAAAAGCTCCACGGCCTTCAACCTAGGCAAATCCAGACACATTAAAATCTATTTGAGACAGCTAGGTAGGGATGGTGGGAGGGAATGAGGGAGGGAGGGGCAAATACAACCTAAATAATATTTAAAAAAAAATTTTTTTTTTAATATAAAGGAGCTCGAACTGAATTTCCTAAAACCTCTTCCTAGGCAAGATCTCTCTCTGCGGGGGAACTGGTTACGTCTGCCTGTCTTTTTGTCCATGGATTAGCTTCTAAGGTTATAGGGAGAGGTTAGGAAGAGGATGAAGGAGAATAGGGAATTGCAGCAGTCTTAGGAATTGTAGGGTTTCCAACTTGGGGTCCCTCTGGCTCCCCTACTCTAACTATCCAGCACCAATGGAATCTTGAGGAGTTCCCAAAGCAAGGGCCTGACCTGTGGGACAACTATACCACCCAGGGTAGGGAGCTGGGGTGGAAAAAAGCTGCATCTTGGTTTGGTGATGATGGTAAGGCTTGGGCTGGAAAACTGACTTACAACTTGCATGGAGTTGGGCATAGAGCAGAGGGAACCCAGCCACGGGGTCTACCTGTTGGGGTAAGCCAGCAGGGGAAAGCAGTGGGGATAGGGGAGGAGAGGGAAGGGGGGCCCTCTGGTATGTGAATCTCCCTCGTGCCCTACAAACACCTCAGCTTTCTGATCTCCCTAGGGAGACCAGAATATGCCAGGAAATCTGGGGCCTTCAGGCTGCTCAATCCAACCCCCCCCCCCCGCCCCCCAACGGAAACCCCCAGGGGGCCACGCCTAGAACTCAGCGAACGCCTTGGCGCACTTCTCGGTGATGGAGACTCGGATGTCTTCCTCCTCGTAGTCTTCGAAGTTGCTCGTGTCGCCGGGGCCTTTGCACTTCGGGATGAAGGGGGCTTCCACCTTCCTCTGGTAGATGGCGATCCAGTCGGTGGTGGAGAACCACTTGTGGTTCTTGATGTCGTTGACTCCGTTCTTGAGGTTTCCGTAGCGCTTGGTGAGGTCCACCTGGAGCAGGTTGCGAAGCAGGTCCTTCAGGTCGGAGCTGAAGTGAGAGGGGAAGCGAACCTTGCCGGAAACGATCTTTTCATATATCTGGATAGGCTGGTCAGCGAAGAAGGGGGGGTAGCCCGCCGCCATCTCGTAGATCAGCACCCCCAGGGCCCACCAGTCCACGGCCTTGTTGTAGCCCTTGCTCAGGATGATCTCGGGGGCCAGGTACTCGGGGGTCCCGCACAGGGTCCAGGTCCGGCCTTTGACGCGCTTGGCAAAACCAAAGTCTGTCACCTGGATGTAGCCGTGCTGGTCGATGAGGAGGTTCTCGGGCTTCAGGTCCCGGTAGATGAGGTCCAGCGAGTGCAGATACTCGAAGGTCAGCACGATCTGGGCAGCATAGAAGCGTGCGTGGGGCTCGCTGAAGCGGCCGATGCGCCGCAGGTGGGAGAACATCTCCCCGCCCAGCACGTACTCCATCACCATGTACAGGTTGGTGTTGTCCTTGAACGAATACTCGAGCCGGACGAGGAAGGGGAAGTTGACAGCCTGCAGGATGCGCTTCTCGTTCAGGGTGTGCTCGATCTGCTTCAGCTTCACCACCTTCTGCTTGTCCAGGATTTTCATGGCAAAGTGGTTGCCCGTCTCCTTGTGTTTCACCAGCATCACGCGCCCGAACGAGCCCGTGCCCAGGGTCTTGATGCGGTCGAAGTGGTCCAGCTGGGCCGTGTTCTGCGCCGGGGCTTCCCATTTCTTGAGAAATTCTTCCTTGGCCTTGGCCAGGAACTCCTTCACGCTCTCCAGCTCGCTGCCCTTCTTGGCGGTGGCCGCGTTGCCCATCTTCGCGGCTCTGGCGCTGAGCGGCTCGGCTTGCTTGTCGCAGCCCGGGCTGCGGCACTGACAGCGGCGCCGGCGGTCGGAGGAGCCCTCGCCCCCGGCTGGGGACGGCTGCGGCACAGGCGGCGGCGGGAGCTGGAGCAGGAGCACGAACGGCAGCACGAACGGCAGCAGGAGCTGGAGCAGGAGCCGCAGAGGCAGCGGCTGCGGCAGGAAAGGCAGAGGCTGCGGCCAGAGAGGAGAAGAAGAAGGAGGAGGAGGAGGAGGAGGA